TTTTTCCCCAGATCTCTATTCTTTCTACATTTGAATAGACTGAATGCTTTTATTTCTTTTCCACAATGGTTGCTACATTTCCAGGCTCTTTATTTTGGTTTGGTTTGCTTCTTGGTTTTATGATTTTTTTTTTTAATAGAAGAGCTCATAGGTGCTATGTTCGCTTCAGTTTTTACATTTTTAAAGATTTCTATTTGTGCTTTCATGCTTGAATGACATCTGGAGTTAGTATAAAATTTGGGCTATAGAAATTTTTTCTCTGACAGGGGCGCCTGGGTGGCTTAGTCGGTTGAGCGTCCGACTTTCGCTTGGGTCATGATCTCGCGGTTCGTGGGTTCGAGCCCCGCGTCGGGCTCTGTGCTGACTGCCAGCTCAGAGCCTGGAGCCTGTTTCGGTCTGTGACTCCCTCTCTCTCTGACCCTCCCCTGCTCACACTGTCTCTCTCTGTCTCTCCTAGAAATAAAGAAAAATATTAAAAAAAAAAATTTTCTCTGACAAAGTTGTATATATAGTTTTATGATTTTTTAATATTCATTTTTACCATAGAGGTATCTGAGGCAAGGGTGATTTTTTTTCTCCCTTGTCTGATGACTTGATTTTTTTAGGTGGGAAAAAAACCCAAATAAAGATTTCTTTCTTAAATTTAAAATCAAGTTAGTTAACATGCATTGTAGTCTTGGCTTCAGGAGTAGAACCCAGTGATTCATTTCTTAACATAGAACACCCAGTGCTCATCCTGAAAAGCACCCTTCTTGATGCCGATCACCTATTTAACTCATCCCCTCACTACCTCCCCTCCAACAACCCTCAGTTTGTTCTCTGTATATAAGAGTCTCTTACAGTTTGCCTCCCTTTGTTTTTCTTATTTTTTCTTCCTTTCCCTGTGTTCATCTAGTGAGTTCCTCAAATTCCACATATGAGTGAAATCGTATCTTTCTCTGACTTATGTCACTTAACATAATACCCTCTAGTTCCATCCACATTGTTACAAATGACAAGATTTCATTCTTTTTCATTGCCAAGTAGTATCCCATTGTATATATATACCACATCTTCTTTATCCTTTTGTCAGTCAGTGGACATGTGGGCTCTTTCCATACTTTGGTTATTGTTGATAACGCTGCTATAACCATTGGGGTGCATGTGCCCTTCAAATCAGCATTTTTGTATTCTTTGGATAAATGCCTGGTAGTGCAGTTGCTGGGTTGTAGGGTAGTTCTGTTTTGATTTTTTGAGGAACCTCCATACTATTTTCCAGAGTGGCTGCACCAGTCTGCATTTCCACCAGCAGTGCAAAAGGGTCCTCTTTCTCTACATCCTTATCAACATCTGTTGTTTCCCGAGTTAATTGTAGCCATTCTGACCGGTATGAAGTGGTATCTCATTGTGATTTTGATTTTCCTGATGATTCTTTATGTGTCTGTTAGCCATCTGGATGTCTTCTTTGGAAAAATGCCCATTCATGTCTTCTGCCCATTTCTTCACTGGATTATTTTATGGATGTTGAGTTTGATGAATTCTTTGGATGCTAACCCTTTATCCAATATTTATCTTTGAATTCTGGCAAATTCATGACATGTCAGAAATCAATCATTATCAGGGCACCTGGGTGGCTTGGTTAAGCATCCGACTTTCGCTTAGGTCATGATCTCGTGGTTCGTGGGTTCGAGCCCCGCGTTGGGCTCTGTGCTGACTGCCAGCTCAGAGCCTGGAGCCTATTTCAGAGTCTGTATCTCCCTCTCTCTCTCTGACCCTCCCCTGCTCACACTGTCTCTCTCTCTCTCTCCTAGAAATAAATAAAAATTAAAAAAAAGAAATCAATCATTATCAGTATTTCCTGCATATGGTGTGACCTCTGACCTTTTGGATTTCAGGAGNTAATGTTTTATTTATTTCTAGGAGAGAGAGAGAGAGACAGCGTGAGCAGGGGAGGGTCAGACAGAGAGGGAGTCACAGACTGAAACAGGCTCCAGGCTCTGAGCTGGCAGTCAGCACAGAGCCCGACGCGGGGCCTGAACCCACGAACCGCGAGATCATGACCTAAGCGAAAGTCGGACGCTTAACCGACTAAGCCACCCAGGCGCCCCAGGAGTTTTATTTAAAAAAACTTTTCTATTATCTTTGAGTATTGTTTTTTGTTCCATTTGCTTTGTTGTCTAATACATACTAAGTTAGATCCCTCTTGTTTTCCATATGTATACCTAATTTTCTTATACTTTACTATTCCTTCTTCCTTCACCTTTTTTTAAATGTTTACTTTGAGAGAGAGTGCCCATTTGTGAATGGGGGAAGGGCAGAGAGAGAGAATCCTAAGCAGGCTCAGCACTGTCAGTGCAGAGTCTGACATGGGGCTCGATATCATGAACCGTGAAATCATGACCTGAGCCAAAATCAAGAGTTGGATGCTTAGCCAACAGAGCCACTGAGGCTCCCCCTTACTTGATCTTTTAAAGTCTTCCACCACATCTCTATTTTTTTCTTTATAATAGTCAAGAAATATATGTCCACAAAATGATTTGTAATGTTTATATGGAATTGCACTATGTATATGCAGGATAATTTTATTAATCTTCCTATTAGATAGATTGCCTTCAATTTTTCACTATTATAAACAACCATACATGCTCTTAACAGTAGTGATGCTGCTTCATAGTACCCTTACTCTAATTCTACTAAGGAAGCTCAGTGTCAAAAAAATTTAGATTATACTTGTGAATCCACTTGCTTACCTTCCTTTCTTATTTAGTCAGGCTTAAAAAAATGATGCAAATGATTTTTATGGGTTTCTGGGTCAGTGACATAAAAATAAGACCCCAGTTGTTTGGGTAAGCATATTAAAGATATCTCAAGATTAAAGAAAGTGGTTTCGTGATGGCTTCTTCAGCACACTCAAAAAAGATACTGAAGACTTAATGGTAAGGGTGTGAAATGTACAATCTCTGTGGAGGGCTATTTGGTATTTGTACTGAGCTGGATATTTCATGTTTGTCCTTCTAGATCTACTCTCCCCCTAGCTAGGTGGATAAGGAGGCTGATCCAAATGGACCATATCAGTTCTCTTATCTTGTTTCTGGTTGGAAGCCAATGGGAAGTGCCAGCAGGATACTAAGGGATATGAGCAAAGCGAAATTGGGTATTTATTCTAGCAGCTCTCAGCTGGGCTGCCATTTAGTTTCACTAAATTCCATTACTGAAGGTCTCAAGTCCTGTCAGCTGACTCTCTCCATATACTTACTCTCTTTGGGTTCTGATGATGGTTCATCTCCTTGTCCTTTTAGGCCTAAGGATGGAAATGGCTCCCCACTGTTGCTAGTTCAGGGTGTCTGTATTATTTCTTGTTGGTTTCTCTGAAATCCTCCTGTTTGCTATACTTACAGAAATTTGTCTTTGACATGTATATAAGATTATTCATTAGAAGATTTTATTTCTCATAGTGGCATAAGTGTACAGTAGAATATTTTGTGGCTGTAAAAAACTTAGAACATTCATGAGATACATGCATTTAATAATCTCCAATTTATTGGGCTTTTCAAATTTTTTTTAAGTACTCAAGGCACCCAAAATATTTGTGAAGCCTCATTTATACCTTAGTAATTGTAAAATACAAGTGTTTTTGGTTCACCATGCTGTCTTCCCAGTCTTTGTTATTGTTTTTGGCTTTATTTAGGTTTAACTGATACACAAAAAATTATATGCATTTTAAAAATACACCTTAATCAGTTTGGACATATGCATACATCTGTGATACCACAATCAAGGTACTGAATGTATCTATCACCTCCAAAAATTTCTTGATATTTTTGTGTGTGTTTTGTAGGAAGACTTAACATGAGCTTTATCCTCTTAACATTTTAAAATTTATACTACCGCAATTTTAACTATAGACATTACGTTGTATAGCAGATCTCTAGGACTTCTTCATCTTACAGAAAAGAAACTTTATACAAGTGTGGAAAAAGCAAGGTACAATGAATATAATATGCTATCATATATGTAGGGAAAAAAATAAAAGAATGTATATGTTATCTTTTTATATATATACACATGCGTGTGTGTGTGTGTATATATATATGTACACACACACACACATATACGTAGAGGAGATAAAGTAGGAAAGTGTCTTTGGAAGGACACATAAGAAAATGATCACAGTGGGTACCTAGGTGGCTCAGGTCATGATCCCATGGTTTGTGAGTTTAAGTCCCATATTGGGTTCACTGCTGTCAGCAAAGAGATGCTTCTGGTCCTCTGTCCCTTGCTTCTCCCCTGCTTGTACTCTCCCCAGAATAATATTAAAAAAAAAAAAATCACAGTGATTGCTTCTAGGAAGGAAAACTGGGCAGTAGGAAACTCTCCTTTAGTTTCTTTGAATATGAAAACATGAATATATTACCTATTCAAAAAACTGTTACATTAATAAAGATTAATTAAGAGGCTTATAGGAACTACAAAAGGAATCACTAGAAGGTGGAAAGAGCCAACAAATTATAAAGTTGCTGAAATGTTCTAACCAGTGAAAGTCTTAAATAATTTCTTACCATGGTCCTTTATGGAATTATATATACCTTATTAGACATTTCTTATAGAACACTCTTCTTCAATGTTGAATGCACAAAACCATGTATGGTAAAGATTTGTTTTAAACATGATCACCTTTATTATTTAAAAGAGCTTCAGTTCTTTAAGTCTCATCCTGGATTTACAGCATTTTAGTAAATGCTAAATGATTTTACAGTGTGTTATATCACTAACAAAGTAAAATGACTGCACAATGATCTTAGCTTCCAGTGAAAAGTACAACTCCACTAAAGGAAATGGACACGAGAAGAGTTTGAGGAAATTAGTGAAGAAGGAAAGACTGCTGGGAAAAATATTCTTTTAACTAAAGTTGGTTATAATCACTCATATTTATGATACTCAAAATAAGAAAGAATTACTAATTTGGTGTTTTAAAGGTGGTTTTAATATTCCGGATATGGACAAGACCCAAGGATACTCACCCTTCCTGGAACTGTGCTTGGGCAGATTCCTCCGCAACAAGAGTCTCATACTCCTCAGCTGCAAACCTGTCCCAGTCAGAGGGTTCAGGCCCCTCATTCTCAACATCCTGATCGCAAAGAGTACAGGAACAAAAATAATCAAAGACAAAGAATTAGAAATTGGTTTTCTTCAGTGATATACAACACTGGTGATGACCTGCCTGAAAATGTCCCATTTTAATATATGTTAAGAGAGGTGCTAAAGTAACACTCCTAAAGTGACTTGTATGCCTCCAATCGCAAAATTATAGTGAACTCCTCAGCAGTGAATTTTTTAGGTCTAGATTCTTTAGCCTTATAACCAGAGACTTTTCTCTGAGCCCTTTTCCCTGGCACTTTGCACAGCAGCTATCTGGAATGACTTGTGGTTTGCATATGCCCACCTGAAACAGACCTTCTCTTCCTCCTCTCCCTGGCATATTTTTATTGCTTCTGTAAAAGCCTGCTCAGATACCATATCATCTGTGCTACTTTCCTAGAAACAGCCCTTCTCCCCCAAATCATTTCCTTTGCTATACTGGACATGCTTGGTTACTACTTTTTGCTCTTCTTTTTATCTATCTGACCATATATCTCTTCAACACAGTGCCTGGAATTTATTCAGCACTTTCTGACCAAACATGTTCTCTGAAGATCAGAATAAATCTTGATATATTGCCACCTCTTACAAATTTTATCTTAAACTCTATAATACAAATAGAAGAAATGAAAAGGGGGAAAAGGCTATCCATTTTCTTTTCCTTATCTAATCTGGGCAGTATCTGGATTATATATTCCAGGTAAAAAGCTTTTCTATGATTAAAATGAGTTATTAGCACTGCCCTCAGATGTCAGTTATGCCTAGAAGAATGCAAATACCTAAATATTGACCATACTACGTGCTATTATACTCAGCTCATTTTAAGAACCTCTACTCCATCCTTTTGACCTCTTTGAAACTTACATCTTACATTTATAATTGGCAGTTTTTTTTTAATGTTTATTTTTGAGAGCGAGCATACGTGGCGGAGGGGCAGAGAGAGAGGGAAACACAGAATTCAAAGCAGGTTCTGGCCCCGAGCTGTCAGCATAGAGCCTGACGCGGGGCTCAAAATCACAAACCTCGAGATCATGACCTGAGCTGAAGTCGGATGCTTAACCGACTGAGCTATCTAGGTGCCTGGGGAAAAAATATTTTTTTTAGCTAGTGATAATATAATGTGCCTTGATATGCTCCAAAATCAGGTGCAGAGTATTTGTTTTTAGAAGGTGATCTTTGGGGGCGCTTGGGTGGCTCAGTCAGTTGAGTGTCCAATTCTTGATTTTGGCTCAGCTTATGATCCCTGGGTCATGGGATTGACCTTTGCATTGGGCTCTGCATGGAGCATGGAGCCAGCTTGAAATTTTCTCTCTCTCCCTCTGCTCCTTCCCCTGCTTGCACTCTCTCTCTAAAATAAAATAAAAAATAAAAAGGTGTGGGGTGCCTGGGTGGCTCAGTTGGTTAAGTGTCTGACTTGGTTTTGGCTCAGGTCATGATCTCACAGTTTTGTGGGTTCAAACTCTGCATCAGGCTCTGCACGGACAGCGTGGGGCTTCCTTGGGATTCTGTCTCGCTCTCTGCCCCTCCCCCACTTGTGACTCTCTCTCAAAAACAAATAAACTTAAAAAAAATAAGGTGATACTTGTATTCTTATTACTATTTAGGTCAACATGTAGAAGAAAAAAACTGAAAGTTTCCTGTAGTTCTATTCCTGTAGAACTCAAACAGTCCTTTTCTATTAACATAATTAAAAAATTTTTTTTTAAGTTTTGAGGGAGAGAGAACACAAGTGGGGAAGGGGGCAGGGGTAGGAGAGAGAGAATCCCAAGTGGGCTCTGCACTGTCAGTGCAAAGGCAGGACTCAACATAGGGCTTGAACTAAAGACTGTGAGATCATGACCTGGGCCAAAACCAAGAGCTGGATGCTTAACCAACTTGACTGAGCCACCTAGGTACCCCAACATAATTTTTACTTTTTAAACAAGAGAATAGAAGTGAAGTGGTGATATTATGCCTTTTTTTTTTTTTTTTCCCCTGGACATAGACCATATGTTCAGGGCTTTTTGAGGGTCCACAGGTAATTTTGTGTACGGGGAAGGGTGCTCATCTCTATTCAAGTGTAGAATGACTTCAAACTGATAGTCATGCTCAATGATCATTAACACATGAAAAAGTGTTAGGTAATCTGAGGGTTGTCTATGATGGAGAATGTCTAGTTTTCATTATGATGGGAAACGCTATTTGCCATGTCATCTTGGAAATGAGTATTTTCTAATACACATGGGTCTACCGATACGTTTTATTAAAAGTTAAAAGGACTAATTTTTTTCAAAACTTTTTTGTAACTAGTTTCAAATATATATATGTAAGTATACAGGCCATAAAATTCACTCAATGATAGGCAGATGCAGGTTACCTAAACCTAAAGATTAGCTATGGGGAGAGATGTGCTCTAAAGTCCTTTTTTCTCTCTCTTCAGTAGGTGAGAAAATTTTTAAAGTTACCTCTTTAAATACAAGATTCTCACAGGGAGAGACCATTTTTACCTGTAGCACACAACTCCTGATACTGTAGCCCTCAAACAGAAGTTAAAACCAGTACCTTTTGGACCGCAAAGGGATCTCTCTGTTCATGGTCCAAGTATTTCTCCAGATTAAAGAAAGTATCATAAAATATGTGTGCCATTCTGCATCTCTTCAGATCTCGTAGTGTTATTTTGCCTATGTAAAAACAAATCTAGTAAATTTCAAGAACTTTTTTCAAGTGAAAAAAACTTTTACTGAAGTTTAAAAGTCTATGAATATGCTAACTTTATTATATAAAATCCCATCGTTTTGATGTAAAATGGACATAAAATTTACCATTTTAAAGTGTACAATTCAGTGGCTTTTAGTACATTCACAGTGTTGGGTAACCATCACCACTACTGAGTTCCCTAACATTTCCTCACCCCAGTAGGAAACTGTACTTTTCAAGCAGACCTTCTCCATCTTCCCTCACCCCTCAGCAACCACCCCCTCCAGCCCAGGGTGATCACTAATCTGCTTTCTGTTTCTATGGGAAAATTTCTTAAACAGGATTTGCCATCACTTGTTGGTTCTAAACTAACTGTAAAGGAGAAACTTAAGTGTTTGTGTATCTGGGAGGCCAGTATGGACGACTCTGGAAGTTCAAGAACTTGGGACAATCCAGGATTAAATGCCCCCCTCTGTTGCATAGGTGAGTAGTAGAAATGGTCTTTTACTCAGTCTTACCATCGCTGGCTGGCTTCACCAGGTCAAGCATCTGGCACAGCAAATCATGGAATGGCAAGGGCTCAATGCCCATGGCTTCCATCCGTTCACACTGCTCCTCATAGAAGTACTCTAGCTCGTACATGGAGAGTACACCATCTCCATCCATATCCATGCAGCGGAACCAATACTCAATGCTAGGAGATAAGGACACTCATTAGCAATGGCCTGGTAAGGTCCTTTATTCACCCAGATTTATTACTGTCCATGTTTCTTTTAAAATAAGTTAGGTATGGCCAACAGACACATGAAACGATGCTCAGCATCCCTCCTCATCAGGGAAATACAAATCAAAACCACACTGAGATACCACCTCACGCCAGTCAGAGTGGCTAAAATGAGCAAATCAGAGAACTCTAGATGCTGGTGAGGATGTGGAGAAATGGGCACCCTTCTACACTGTTGGTGGGAATGCAAACTGGTGTAGCCCCTCTGGAAAACAGTGTGGAGATTCCTCAGGAAACTAACAATAGAACTCCCCTATGACCCAGCAATAGCACTGCTAGGCATTTACCCAAGGGATACAGAAATGCTGATGCATAGGAGCACATGTACCCCAATGTTCATAGCAGCACTCTCCACAATAGCTAAAACATGGAAAGAGCCTAAGAGTCCATCAACAGAAGAATGGATCAAAAAGATGTGGTTTATCTATACCATGGAATACTACATGGCAATGAGAAACAATGATATCTGGCCATGTGTAGCAACATGGATGGACCTTGAGGGTGTTATGCTGAGCGAAATAAGTCAGGCAGAGGAGGACCAATATCATATGTTTGCACGTATAGGAGGATTAGGAGGAACTTGACGGAGGAACAAGGGGGAGAAGAAGGGGGGAAATGGTGGGGGAAGGGGAGAGAGGCAAACCATGAGAGACTCTTGAATGCTGACAAAAACTGAGGACTGATGGATGAGGGGGGGAGGGGGGATGGGCATGGAGGAGGGCACTTGTGGGGATGAGCACTGGGTGTTATGTGGAAACTAATTTGACAAACTATTTGTAATAAAAAAAATAAAAAAATAAGTTAGGTATGTGTATACTTGAGACGTATAGAAATACAGTGTTACAAAATGTGTTAGAAATACTGGCAGACTGCTTCTTCCCTTTATTTTCCCTTCCCCAGAGTCAACCACTTTCAATACCTGATTATTTTGGTTTTTATATTTTCGGATATGATGCCTATGTTGCTCTTTCCTTACATTTCTGTTTTAAGAACTGTATATTAATTTCATATTATGAAAGATCAGGTTTGAACTCTTTTACCTCTCATTCTACTTTACCTACATGCCCTTCTGAACCTCTTAATATAAGTGACTCAACTTTTTTTCTTTTAGCTCTTATTTGCTGAGATTTCTGTGTACATGTTACTATTCAAGGCCCATATGTGCCAGTTTTCTGTATCCATAATATTCTCATCAGGGTTCTATGAACTGGATTTTCTTGATGAAGTCTTTCTTGCTTCCTTCTGACCTACTTTAACCTGTACTGGTTGCTCTCTAGACTGGGTTCATGGTTTTATCCTAGGGATTCCTTTAATCTTTCACCTATTTCTTGTACCTCACACTTTCCTCATTCTTGGTTGACTTCCTTGTTTAGTGTAACAAATTCTTTGGTAGCTTCCTAAAAAAAGGGAGCAGGGCATGTACATTTTTTGAGATCTTAGATAGTTGAAAATACCTTTTGTCTACCCCCTAACTTGGTTGATATTTTGGTTGGCTTTTCCTTCATAATTTTAAAGGCAGTGTGTCACTATCTTCTGTTTATCCATTGTTGTTGAGAAGTCTAAAACCAATGCTAATATCTGATCCTTTGACTGTAATAACCTGCTTATTTTGTTTGTTTTTTTTCCTTTGAAGCCTTTAGAGGTTTCTCTGGGTCCTTGGTATTTTGAAATATCATGATGAAGTATCCTGGTCTGGGTCTACTTCATTTATTTTGTTGGGCTTTCTGAGAACTTAATCAGTTTGAAAGCTAGTATCCTTTAGTTCTTGGAAATTTTCTTAAATTATTTTATTTCTTCCCTGCCTCTTTTCACCCTTATCCATTTTTTTTTCTGGAACTCCTGTTACTCACATCTGCATTGTCAAATATGGCAGCCACTATCCACATGTTCTTAGTCCAATTTGAGATATCTTTAAGTGCAAATACACAACAGATTTTGAGGACTTAATATAAAAAAAAAGGAAAACATCAATATTCTTATATTGATTATATGGTGCAATAGCATTTTAGATATACTGGGTTAAGTAAGATATTTAACTGCAATTAATGTTATGTTTCTCTACATCTTTACTGTGGCTAAATTTCCTTTATAATTTTTTAAAACATTTTTAGTAAAACTTGTATTTAAGGAGTACGAGATAATTTAATATATACATAGTGAAACAATTGCTACAATAAAACTATCTAACAAATCACTTAGTTACCATTTTTTGGGGGGGAAGGGGATGAGAGGACCTGAAATCTCTTTAGCAAATTTCCAGTATTCAATACAGTACTCTTCACCATAGTCACCATGTTGTATGTTTCATTCTAAATGCAACGTTGTACCTTTGACTAGTACTTCCCCATTTCCGTCTTCCTGCAGCCCCTGCTAACTAAAATTCTACTCTATGCCTCTTTGTGTTAGATTTCACATATAAGTGAGATCATGCAGTATTTGTGTCCCTCTGCATGCCTTATTTCACTTAGCATGGTGTACTGGGTTCATCCGTGTCACTACAAATGACAGGATTTCCTTCTTTTAAAAGGGTGAATAATATTCCAGGGTGTGTGTGTGTATCCCCACACTTTCTTTATCCATTTATCCACTAAGGGATATTTAGGGTGATTTCATATCTTGGCTACTGTGAATAATGCTTTAAGGTACATAGGAGTGCAGGTACTTATTCATGATATTTTTTTCAGAGTTCTGACTCAAGATGGTGATGTAAGAAGATCCTGAACTTTCTCCTACAGACGCACCAAATCTACAGCTATATATGGAACAATTTCCTCTGAAAAGAATCCTTAGAATTAACTGAGTAACTCCTACACATTGTGCAGACAAGAACACCTCACATCTAAGTGGGTAGGACAGGCTGACACACAATCTCACTATAATCCCAACCTCTGTCTTGGTGACCCACAATCAGGAGGAAGCTTAAAACCTGGAACTTCTTCCAAGGAGTGAAGGGTGTGAATCTCATACTGGGCATCATAACTTTTAAGACCTGAAACTAAAAGATGACTCCCTAAAACATCTAGCTTTGGAAATCTATAGAGCATGTGTCCATGAGGCCCAAAAGGGTACAGTTAAGTGAGAAATGGTTAGAGGTGTGTGTGCTTGGACTCATGCCCAGGGGCCAGTGCAGAAGCAGCCAATAGACACCCAGACTTTCTGTGAAAGAAGCTCATTTCTTTATCTTAAAGTCTTGGCCTACGGGCAGGCATCTAACTTAAAACACACATCTAGGGATCTGCTGGAGGACTCTCTGGGGACAGAGGCTAGTGGATACCATCTTCACTCTCCTCATTTGCTGCACTGCACAGTGCCAGTATCTCATAGAGAGAGGAGCTTTTACATGCATCTGGTGCCCCTGTTTTTATGTCTGGAGCCCTGCCTCATATTTACAGCTGCCACTCAGGGATTCTCGCTGATAGCCTGGCTCTGGTGGCCGGGGGACTTGTGTTCCATGGGACTGTAACAATAGGAGACACAGTTCTTAGCAGTCTACTATATCTGGGATATTGCACAGATCAGAGGTTGAAACATACCCCCAAGCTTTCTGTGAAAGAGGTCTATTTGCTTGTGTTGGAGTTTCAGCCCAAAAGGTAGGTTTCTGGTTTGGCACACATCTAGGAGCTTATGGAGTTGCTTTCAGCGGATGGAGGCCACTGGGTGCCATTACTGTCTCACTGCAGTTTGCTGGTATCTTTTAGAAAGGAGCTTTTGCACTTGTGTGGTGCCCAAATTTTGGGGACTGATGCCCAGGGGATCCTTCCAGATTTCCTAGCTCTGTTGGCCAGCAGGGTTTATGTTTGTGGTCCCATAGGACTGTATATATGTGCATACTTTTAAAAGGTGACAACCAGCCTGCATCTGAGTGCTGAGATACTACCCTCTGGGACACTGAGGTTTTGGCACAGCCTCAACTACTGAGAGCCATTAAAAATAAAATAGGATGCTTGGACAATTCAAAAGTTTAAGCGACAAGGGCTAGGACAGAGTTGAAAAATAAGGTTTACCTACTACACAAGGCTGCTACTCAAGACTTGGAGACATGGCTATTTTATCTAATGCACAGAAACCAACATAGTCAAGCAAAATGGTGAAAGTGAAAAATATGTTCTGAATTTAAAAACAAGACAAAACCTCAGAAAAAATCCTTAATAAAACTAAGTTAAGTGATTTACGTGATAAAGAGTTCAAAACAATGATCCCAAAGATGCTCAGTGAACTTGGGAGATGAATGGATGAGGCCAGAACTCAAAGAGATGGAAAATATAAGGGTGTAGTAAACAGAAGTCTTGGAGCTAAATATAGTAACTCAACTGAAAAATACATCAGAGGAATTTGAAACCAGAATAGATAAAGCAGAAGAAAGGATCAGTAAACTTGAATACAGGGCGGAGGAACTCAATCAGAGAAGCAAAAAGAAAAAAGAATTAAAAAATGTGAGGATAGCTTAAGGGACTTATGGGACAATATTAAGTGGACTAGTTTTCATATTATGGGGCTTCCAAAAGGAGAAGAGAGAGAAAGGGACAGAAAACTTATTTGAATAATGGCTAAAAACTTCCATAACAGGTAAGGAAACAGACACCCTGATCCAGGAAATCCAAAGATTACAGATACTAGGAATCCAATGAGGCCCCACTAAGAACTTTATAAGTGTCAAAAGTGAAGGAGAGAATCTTAAAAGAAGCAAGAGGAAAACAACTTGTTACATATATATAGAAGAGCCCCAATTGGACTATTAGCAGATTCTTCAGTAGAAAATCTGCAGGCCAGAAGGGAGTGGCATGATATATTCAACATGCTGACAGAAAAAAAAACTTCCATCAATAATACTCTATCTACTTGGTAAAGCTGTCATTCAGAATTGAAGAAGAGAGAGAATTTTCCAGACAAGCAAAACTAAAGGAGTTCAT